GGGAGCACAAGGGGCGAGGGGATTATTCTGGTGCACGTCGGAAATACAGCCAGACGCCTTCCTGTGACACACACTCTTTAAAAAGCGAGCCACAGGCGCGTGGAACCAGATCTGCTGGTATCAACAGGGGCGGGCACGCAAACGGAGAGGGTTGTCCGAGTATTTCATCTGCATCTATGAACGTGGAATGATAAATCTGGAATTGTCTGGGGGTTAGGGGCGAAGGCCTGCTGTGTGGGACTCACCACTAATGTGTGGGAACAGACGCATTTTAAAACAAGTAAATAAAAAGAAGGGTTAGGACGGAAACAACCACAGCTCTAGCCTCAGCTTCCCACCCTTCCAGTCCGCCTCTCCGACTTGGGAATAACAAGTTCCTATTCTCCCAGTCTGCTGAGAAGCAGAGTTTGGAGATGGCAGCTGCCAAGGATCATCCGCATGATTCAGCGTGCTGCTCTCAGGACATGGAGGTAAGGTCGGGCCCGGCTCCCAAGGCACAAGTGCGTGCAGTTCAGGCCTGCAGCCACTAGGGGGTCGTGTTTTGGACTTGGGTAGCCATGGAATAGAAGTAGGCTCATGTCCACTAAGATACACCCTGTAGTAACTATAACTATACTTCAAATATAATAGCTTTATGGTTAGATATGAGATCCGAAAGAACATTTCCTTGCGTAGCTGCTGCTCCTTACACTTACCTGATTTTGCTCCAATTATATTCTTGATGATGTACAACTTATCACAAAATAGAAGCTTTGGTCCCAGAAAAACTGATATATAAGCGGTATACTCAGCTCCTTTGGCTGTTAGAGGAGATAATCATGAATTACCCTCTAGTACCCAAGACTAGCTTCTGCCATTAATTATTGGTGTTTGAAGTTGGCATTGCTACTCTAGGAACCAATGGGCAAGCAAACCTGAGAACGGCCTGCGCCCTCAAACCACCTGAGAAGACTTTAATGAAATGACCTAGAACCGTGCACCAGCCAGGCTGAGCTACAGTACCAGGCCCTGTGTTAGACGCTTTCCACAGTCCTGGGCTGCTATTAGTGCTGCCACAGTTCCTTTAAACCATGGCGAATACTGCGTAAGAAACAGATCTGCATTATTTGAAGGAATAAACCAACTACACCATGATTATCCACACATATTCATACATATGGATAAGCATTTTGCAAAATATAAATGTTACTTTTGCATTACAAAAAAAGACAAGGGTGAAGCAAGTCAGAGAGAAGCCATGTGATTCCAACTGCACGAAGTTACTGACACGAACTTCTCTAGCTACTAGGAATCCAGGGAGGAAGCAGGGCCAGGGCCATGCGAACAACTGTCCAAGAGGCACAGCTCAGACCGGTTCAACACAATACTCCAATCCTTCCCACTACCTTTTTTTTTTTTTTCTTGTCGGTCATGGGGCTTGAACTCTGGGCCTGGGGTTATCCCTTAGCTCTTCAGCTCAAGGCTAGTGCTCTACCTCTTGAGCCATTTCCAGTTTTCTGAGTGGTTTTATTGGAGATAAGAGTCTCACAGACTTTCCTGTATGGGCTGGCTTTGAACTGTGATCCTTAGATCTCAGCCTCCTGAGTAGCTAGGATCGCAAGCATGAGCCACCAGCACCCAGCTTAAACTGTTCTTGTTTTTAACCACAAAGAGTCTTGGCACATAGAGAAAAGGAGTGATTTTCACAGTTACCAGGATGGCACAGAACCAACCATACTGTTTCCTCCTTTGAAGAATTTTTTAGGAATAACAAAGGCAGTCTCCAAGTACTACCGTCACTCAGACCCGGCATTATGTGCTGACTGCTGGGGTGCTGGGCTCCCTATCTGAACAGAAAACTGTCCAGGGGGAGGGGACAAGGATGCTCTGAGCGTGTCACTGCATGGGCTCCGCGGGGGCTGGCGTGCGCTGTTCCAGTGCAACGTTCATACAGACTTGGGCAGTAATCCGTCATTCCCGCTTCACAGCCCGAGAAATCCACAAACCTGCCCAAAGGTTCAGAAACATGAAGTACTCACACGCATGCTCAATATAGCTTCCAAGCACAGCAATATCTCCTTTTCATTCAGAACACTTCACACACACACACACACAGTATTACTGTGCTTGTAGTTAACAATATCTCATGCTAAGTGCTGTTACCATAATAAAGAGTTCTAATGTGTACAGAAAAAAATGATTGCTTAAGGAAGGAATATAATAAACATAGAGGCCTTTCCATTTAAATCATTTTGGGACTACAGTGGCTCACACCTGTCGTTCTGTTCCTGAGGCTGTGAGCAAGAAAATAGTGGCTTGAGGCCAGCCCAGGCAAACCGTCAGTGAGACCCTCGCTCAGCAAAGCAGCTCCAGCTCCTGTGCAAGCCTGGCCATCAGGAGACACAGGTGGGAGGGAGGCAGAGTACAAGGTCCTATGCAAAAAACAACTCCTAGCAGGAAGAGCGGATGCCCTGGCTTGTGCGGTGGACATCCGCTGAGCAAGTGCAAGGCGCTGAGTTCAAATTCCAGCACCAGGAGAGAAAGAAGAGGGAAGAGAAGGGAGGGAGCGCAAACCCAGCATGCCCACCGCTCCTCCCTGATCGGGAAGGAGTGGTGGCAAGCCCAGATGGTGCTTCTGCTTATGTTTGCATTTGGCGCCATACGTGGATAAAGTATAATGTATAAATTAGCACTGAGGGAGGCCAGGTGTGGGAGGCGTTGGAGCTGGCCAGGGCTCCGGTCCTCCCTCCCAAAGCCATAAACACAAATGACCAGCTTAACAGCACGGAAAGACCACCTACACGACCCGAACCTGCCCCCAATCACTTGCACCGCGCCTTCCTTCAATTACAGGATCCCTGCCACATTTATGGGGACTTTTAATGTGAGCATCAGATTTGAGGGCCCTATCCTTATGGACATGTTTGATCTCAGGGTGGGAAAGCAAATGCTGCCCGAGGTTGCTCAGCGCTGAGCTGTAAGGGGCGGGGCTCAGAGGCCACGGGGATCAGCCCTCACGCTGGGTTCTGTGCAGGGAATGACCACCGGTTGGGAGTAAGTTCCGTGGTGGTGTCACTGTGTGAGGACATTTTGAAAGGGAATGGCAAGAGACCTGAAGGGAAAACACATTGTCTCCATCGGAGTGTGGCAACAGGATGTGATCTACTAATGAAAAATCAGATCACCGTGATTTGGTAGAAAAACTGAACCACCAGCCCTCAGCATGAGTCAACTAAAGCACAGTGCAAATGGCTCCTCCCGCTCAGCGCACGCCATTGCCTAAGACCCACGAGTGAGGGACCCTCCCCCAGGAAGCTGGCTTTCCTGTCAAACACTCTAGGAAGGCTCTGCTCCAGAGATACCTTTCCATGGGCTCCACTCTTGGGATGCTCCAGAGTCTTCTTGTTCCATGCCCTTTCTTTGGACCGTAGCACTCATTCCTATGACCTAAACGGCTGCTTCTGAAGTCTCATCAGCTTTGTTCTGTGAGCCCAACACCTTGACCTATTGACCTCGCCTCCCCGCCCCTCACAAACTCTGTCTTTCTTATTAACATCTCCAGCCACCCAGCAAAATAGGAAGCTGTTGGTTCCTCTTCCTCGCCGTATACTTGTGATCCAGCCCGCACAGCCCAGTCTTGTTATGCACTGTGCCCTCCTTGCTTGTGTCTTTCCGCTTCCCCCAAGCTCTGTTACCCCAGTCCTCTTCAGGTTATTGTGAACTGTGATCATCTTAATAACCAAAGGCAAGAAGCCCACCCCACAACCCACACATCTAAACAAGCAGCCCAGCTTCACCGTGCCTGTCCCATGCAGACTTTTAAGTGGTATCTGTTGTCCACAGTCCAGTGCGGATCCTGTGGCAAGTTCTCCTTTTTGGTCTCGGGTTCTCCCCGTAAGCCCCAGGTCCTGGCTGCATCATGCCCTGGCATTGCCCGACACACACACACACACACACACACACACACACAACACACACACACACACACACACACACACACACACATACACACACACACATACACACACATACACACACACACACAGATACACACACACACACACACATACACACACAGATACACACACATACACACACAGATACACACACACACACATACACACACACAGATACAGAACAGCAGCACTTACACGTGAAATGGAACCCAAGCGCACAAGGGCTTCGGAGGTCAGAAGGAGGCACCATGAGTTAAGTTTTAGCAAAGAGAAGCACTTCATGCTTTCAGGCTCTGTTTGCCTCGTGTAGCACCCGCCGAGCTACAGCCCTGGGAGGGTACTGAGCTGGTTGGCGTTCCTCCCGCCGCACAGGGGCTCGCAATGGCCGGCTCTCACTTCCTCTTCCACGTAAACAGCTCTTGGAGGAGGAAGCAGTGGTCTGTAGCAAGCCAGCAGCTGGGACAGAACTCCTCTGACTCATGGACTGAGAATTGCCCTGCTAATTCCCAGAGCGGTTTGGCCATACTTTGTGGATTCACCCCACTGAACAGTCTTGTTGATGGTGTGGTATCCTGTGGCCTTCCTCACTAATAGAAACAGCATGTAGAGATATCCCTAAAGACTCCTACATCCCTTTCCTCTGGCTTTCTAGTAAAGAAAAAAAATTGCCTCCAAATGCCCCACACTGGTTTTCTTTCCCACCTCAAGTTGAATTTGAGAAATTAAGAAACAAACTAAAATACATTAAAACCTGCACGTTCACTAACCCTGATCAGCCAGCATTTCCAGGCCTGGCACAGACGCTGTTTGTCAGTTAACATGCACTGGGGTCTCTGGGAGCCCCAGGGGGAGGCCAAGGGTCCATCCTTCACAAATGTACACTAAATCAATGGATGTAACAGATCACGTCAGACTATAGAGGCGGCGTTACACAACTCTACCCACTCTAGGGGTGTGACCACCACGGGAGAGGCAATCCTTGTGTCAGCCAGGATACAAGGGGCAGCAACCTTGGCGTGAAGGGTGTTGGAAAGCATCCGCGCGGGTGCCGGAGGAGACTCTTACCTTTCTGGAAGAACTCTTCCAGTCTGCTCTTGAACGGCTGGAGGAACTCCTTTGGAGACTCCTTGCACACCACCACCATCTGTTGCTCACATGCTGCGAAGACAAGTGTGAGTTAGCCTTGTGCAAGAACAGGTTTGCTGAGCTCCTGCCCTGTGCACGCACTGTGCACACACTGTGCACGCACTGGGCATCAACTGGGCAGAGTCCTTGTCAGCCACTGATCACCTAAACGCTAGGGGGGAGATAATTAGCACATTCGACACCTCTCTTTAGGAATGGGTTTCCCTCACGGAGATCTAGAAACATCTCTGACTTAGGACAGGCAAAGTATTCTGCCTTTTGGTTCCTCCAAAATAAAGAGATGAACAAATGTAGTAATGACTACTTCCAGGGAATGAAGGGACCTGGCCCTTTATTCCAAACACAGAGACTGAAGAAGACACAGCGTTCCCAGGCACTCAGGTTGGCTCCTCAGGGAGGGGAACATTTGCATCGGGCCTGGTCTCTAACACGGGGACAGGCTCCTCTTCACGCTTCCCTCTCTCTCTTCTGCCGTCCAGTCTTGCCTCACTAACAGGTGAAGTAATGTTGTGTGGTCAATTCAGGTAGGCTATATGGAAGTTGTAGCATTGCTTTTTTGATCCTCAGGTTGCCTCAAATGGAATGGTTCTAACTTGTCTACATGGAGTCCATAATAACCCAGAGTGCACCATCACAGGGGGCAGCAAACCCGGGCCCAGGTGTCTCTGTGTTCAGACCGTCTGCAGAAATGCCACGGCAAGAAAGCCTTCATTTCTCAGAGTCCAGAGCCCAGTTGTGATCCGTGCTGCCCTCTGACTATGGCCGGAAATGCCTGAAAGACGGAAATCACACAGGATTTCCACCTCATGGACACCACACCACCTGGTCCACAAACTAGAGAAACAGAGATTCTGGAGGAATTTGTAAACCCGCAGGCAATGCATTTCAGAAATGTAAAGGGACTCTCAGGGTGACAGACGTTTCTCATGATTTCCAGCTCTCTCTGAAGACACATGTTGCTATATTTAAAAGTTAAAATCTCACATGCTATAAATGGTTAGTCCCTTTAATTCCTGAACTCACATCTGCATTCAAACTCCATTAGCTGCACTAAAACCGTTGTTCATGAACACAAATAATACGGTCCTGCCTGCAACTCAGACACAGGATATGACGGAAGCTGTGAGAATTCTCGAGGTTACGTCTCTGCGGCTAACGCAAAGCTTATGTCTCAGCGTGTTTCCCCCATGGCAAAGCAAAGCCTCCTCTCTCTCTCTCTCTCCCTCTCTCTCTCTCTCTCTCTCCTCCTGGACGTGTTGAGCAAGCTCAGGGGATGTCCATCGTTTTACGGGGCCGGAGGTTTGTGCTTGGATCAAGACCTGCCTACCATCAAGCAGGCTTCATTTTTATTTGCAAAACGAGAACCTCCACCCCAGGCACAGCAAGAGAATTAAATGAGATGGCGCGCACAGAGCGCTGTGTAGGGTGCTCGACGCGTGCACGCAGGCGTCCAAGGGCGGTTATGATTTAGGAGAACCAGCCGGGACCGGAGGGACGGGAGAGCGGAGGCGGATGCCTGTTCCGGAGCTCAGAGGCCTCTAATTTCGCAGGTGTTCCAGTCTGACTGTCATTTGCTTGCTGGAATCAACACCCACTGGGAGGACTCACTGCGGGAAGCAGGCAAGCTCCTTGGGGAAGGGGAAGGGGAGGCTCTGAGCTTCAGGGCCGTGCAGGGAGAAGCTGAAGCCAGCGCAAATGAGCTTGGCGGTCCTCTCTGCCCCCCGCAGCCAGGACTCCCACGCTGCCTGACCACGGCCCTTAGGATGAAACTCCACAGGATCAAAGGAGACAGCTGGCCCCTGACCGGTCCAGCGGCCAGTGCGTCACCCGCTCTAATTTATTAACTTGGCTTATCTGAGATGCTCCTTAGCAGACAAATAGGAGACCTAAGACTAATGATGACACTGGAGACTGGCAGTGTAAAAAGGAGAGAGGTCAGGGGCAAATCTGCTAATGCCATTCATTGTCCAACCAGAAGACTCCTTTCAATGTCGCAAGACCACCAAGCGCGCCCAGACGCGGCTGGGCTAGGACTCCGGTGTCGGAAGCCAAAGCCACTCCGGCTTTGTTCAATTACGCTTTGAGTATTAAAGGTGCCAGCTCCTAGAGGAGCGGCTAATTGTCATCACTGTGAGAGATAAAATAACAAAGACAACGCTTAATCAAGAGAATTACCACTGAAGAATTAAGCACTTGTGAATCCTTCCAGTAGGAAGGAAGATATGGTCTTGAGTGTATTAAGGTTTCAGAATCAAGTTAAGGTCATGAATGGTTAATATTTTTTTTCTCAACCACTAAGAATACTGAGCAATGCTAAAAGCAAGAGTGAGTTAGGAGGATGTAGCAGCAAAAGCCATAGATAGCTAATTAAAATCTAGTACATGTCTAAGCACTGTAACAGATCAAACAGAGTATGTTAGAAAAGACTGGGTTAAGTCTCAATACTTTTTTTCTTTTACGGTGCTGGAATCGAACCTAGGGCCTTGTGAAGCCATCTCATCCGGGCTGCTTTCCTTTCTGGAACTCTCGCCTTTCTCTGCTTTCCTGATTAGGGATTCCTACTCCACCGCCCTGTGGTTCTGGGCCAGTTCTGAAATTTATTCCTCACTTGCGCGAGGTCCTTGTGCTGCCCCAGCCCTCGGGCTCCCGGGCTCACAGCAGGGTCTGCAGCCCATACTAACATGGCTGCTGCCCCATCTCTAGACTGCGTAAGCGGGGAAGACACAGGGGATGTCGGATCGTGTGGGGCTGGACTGCTTGCTTACGGAGTTCGTTATAAAGGAGCTCTCTGTTAAGTGTTTAATTGTCACACCAATTTGATAAATATCTGCTAAGTGTTTTCAGCGTGGCATGAATTGGACCAGGTGGTGGGAATAAGACAGGGAAGGTCGGAGGAAGAGCCCTGCGCTCTGGACCCGAGAGGCAATGGTCGCAAGCCCACCTCTTTCGCCCCACGTGGGTTATGAGCACGGCGGTCCAGTTATTTAAACTGCGTGCAAACACACGGACTACTTCTGTACTTCTCACCCTTGTATCATCACATGGTATGATCCTGCTCAGACGCAACTTGAGGTGTGAAAAGTTCGGGGCTCAGGGGCTTGGATAGAGATACACACTAGGGAGCCAACGACAAAACTGGTGTCTCAAGGGACAGCAACAGGACTGCGAGGCAAGGAATGCCGTGCAGGGTGCAGAGCAAAGCCCCACAGGGAAGGAGGGAGAGGAGGGACGAACACGGCTGCAGGATTTGAGAGCCACAGGGTTTGTGCACGTGGTGGTCAGAATGGAAGGAAGAAGTCAAGTTGGAGAGGACGAGCCAAGTGTAGACTTTAATGCCATGTGTGTGAGACGTTGGGGCTCCAGTGGAAGAGCACCAGTCTAGGAAGAAGAGGCCTTGTGCTTTATCCCCAGTGCCAACCCTCCCAGCTAGCACCCCGTGGTTCGTGCCTATAAACCTAGTTATACAGGACGCTACGGTGCGGAAGGGATCACGGCTTTACACCAGCTTGGGCCAGAAAGCCTGTGAGCCTCCGTCTCACTGAGAAGCTGGGCGTGGTAGGCGTGCCTGCCATCCCAGTTACAATGAAAGCCTTTCACAGGTAGATTGCGGTCCCCAGACATACGCCTAGGGAAGCGAGAGTCTGTCTCAAAAATAACAAGTGCAAAAAAGGACTGGAGGTGTCTTAGTACAATGTCTGCCTAGGAGCAAGTAAGAAGCCCTGAGTTCAAACTCTGGGACTGCCAAAGAGGAGGAGGAGGGGGAGGGGGAGGA